AGTCAATTAACTCTCCATTCACTTTAGATGAAATGAAGAGAGCTATTTGTAAATCAGGCAATACTTCTCCAGGAAAAGACCTAGTATGTTATATAATGTTGAGACATCTTAGTAACAGGGTGTTGAGTAAACTTTTGGTATAATAAAGTGTGGAAAGACGGCTACCAAAAGCTTGGAAAGAGGCTGTAATAGTACCTATAAGGAAACCTGGGAAGGATCCTTCGAAGCCCTTTAATTATGGGCCAATAGCCCTCACATCAAATGTATGTAAGATCATGGAAAGAATGGTCACTGAAAGGTTGACATATTTTATAGAAAAGAAAGTAATACTGTCGCATTATCAAAGTGGGTTTAGAAAAGGAAGGGGAACCTTGGATCCTATCATTTGCTTAGAACATGAGATTAGAAAAGCACAAATCAGTAAAAACTCAGTTATAGCAGTATTTTTCGATGTTGAAAAAGCTTATGATATGATGTGGAAAGACGGACTTCTGATAAAATTAAAGTTAATGGGGTGAAGTATTTTGTCCTCTCCTGTCTTGTGGAATGTGATGTTCTGATGTTCTGTGGAATGTGAACCTATGTTTTTTTCTTAGGTCAAAGGTTAAAAGCCAGGTCAGAGGTTAAAAGCTAGATTAGGCTTTATAGGTTAGATGTTGTTCTAATTTATGTAGCCTTAGGTGATGTCTGACTGACCACCTGGACAGGGATGCCTCTCTGTCTAGGTTTTGGAGATAAGAAATCATATATAAGAAGATTAGTTTGGGCCGAAGAGAGAGAGACCTCACATTCAGCGTCAGAGACGCTCAGATAGGGCGGGTTTTTGACACTGTTCTTTTTTGTAATAAAGACTTTTTAATATACAAGTGAAGAGGTGTCAGAGATGGCCACTTCTGTTCGTCAACACATCAAGAAACAACAGGAGTAAGAGGGAGAATATTCAATTGGATAAAGGATTTTAACTATCCAGGTAAGGATAGGAAATTAAATATCGAGTCAGTGTGTGGTGGAAAATGGCACCCCGCAAGGGAGTGTAATAAGCCCATTAATTTTTTCAATTATGATTAATGATGTTTTCTCTCAGATTCAACCAGACATAGGCAGATCTCTTTTTGCTGATGATGGGGCATTGTGGAAAAGGGGTAGGAACATCATGCATATTAATGGAAAGGTGCAAGAAGCCATCGATAAAGTCGAGCAGTGGGCATATGATTGGGGATTTAAATTTTCAGTAGAGAAACCAAATACAGTTGTCTTCACAAGAAAGAGAGCTCTTCCTGGTGTTAGCTTGCAGATATATGGAAGAATATTGGAGAGGGTGAATGCTTTCAGTTTCTTGGGAATTCTTTTTGATTCCAAGTTAACATGAGTAGATCACATAAATAAAATAGTTGAGAAATGCCAGAAGGTTTTAAGTATCATGAGGTATTTAAATGGGGTGGGATGGGGCACTAGCTTCTCATCATTAAAAGACATCTATGTGACAATGATCTGGTCAGTGTTTGATTATGGGAGTGTGGTTTATGGTTCAGCCTCAAAAAGTCTGCTAGAGAGACTGAATAAAATTCAGGCTCAAGCTCTGAGGCAGTGTTGTGGAGCAGTAAGAACAACCCCCATCCCAGCCCTGCAAGTTCTGGGGAAAGAGATGCCATTGGACATTAGGAGAAAGCAGTTAACGACCAACTACTGGGCTAGCCTCAAGGGGCACCAAGAGCAACACCCCACAAAAGAGGTAATGCAGGAGTGCTGGGAACGAGGCAGAGGACAAAAGGCTAACTTCGGGTGGATGGGCAACCAGTATGCAGAGAATATGGGGATGGAAAATTTCTACGTCAGCCCAACAGTGGTAACTCCAGAAGCTGAACCATGGAAGCTTATTACACCACAAGTAGACTTGTACCTCCTGGACCTCAGGAAGACAGAGAAAGGGAAGATAGACTTGATGACAGCTTTCATAGCTCATGTTAGCCAGCATTACCCTCAGTACACTCAGATATATACAGATGGGTCTAAAGATCCAGAGCAGCAAACAACAGGGGCAGCTTTCTCTGTTCCATGCAGAAAGGTTCATGTGGTAAAGCGTTCCTCAGATTATTTGGGAGTTTACACTGTAGAGTTGTGGGCAGTGTTTTTGGCACTGAAGTGGACAGAAGAAAACAAACCAGGAAATACCCTAATATGCTCTGATTCTGTTTCAGTGCTGAGCAGCCTGACATCCTTCATATCCAGCTGTCAAGATATCCTGTTCCAGATTTTACAAGTACACGCCAGAGTCATACAGCAAGGTATGCATATCGAATTTATGTGGGTACCGGCACATGCAGGTATAAAAGGGAATGAGGAGGTGGATAAACTGGCTAAACAAGCACTACAAAAAGACACCATAAATACACACAGTTCGTTAAGTAAATCAGAGATCAAAACAATAATCTGGAATAAGTCAATGGAGGAATGGCGGGGGAGGTGGGACAATGAAACAAGGGGAAGGTTTTTATATAGCTTTATCAGTAATATAAAGTCAACAGACAGGAATATAGGAAGGACAAGGAGGAAGGAGGTAATACAGTATGCAATAGGATTAAATTAGGTCATTCCAATTTAAACAGTACATTACACAAAATAGGAAAACACCCAACTGGTTTATGTGTACACTGTCAGTCAGAGGAATCAATACCACATACAATCACAGAATGCACCACGTACAGCCGAGAAAGACAGCATATGAAGGAGGAGTTGAGAAAAATTGGAATACATGAAATTAATGTTAAAACTTTGATGAGTCTGCCAAGTGGGCAGAGTACAAGAGTGTTTTTTGAATTCATTAGACGGACAGGTTTACAGGTCAGGGTACGACCAAGGTACCTTTTAACCGTTTGTTTTCTGGGAATAACTGACACAATCAGAAACCAGAAACAAGTCGTTTTTGGCCAAAAAACAAAAAACATGAAAAAAAAGTTTGTTTTTTCGTTTTTATGTTTTTGGCAAAAAAAATGAAAAAACTTAAATTCAGGTCAATTTCTTGTTTTCTGATCCTACTGCAAAAAAAAAAAATTACCACTCCATATTTCGTTTCATTGGTGGGCGGGCTCTCAGCGCTTCCTTGCTTCTGATTGGCTAACGTGCTCTGTCACTTACATTTGGGCTGTATTCTTCAAAATAAGGTTACTTCTTGGCCTTTACGCCAGCAGGATGTCTCTGCAGACCCGGAGGCTGCAGACGCACAGACAGGCAATGAAGTAATGCAACAGTGTTTTATTGTATTGCCTGTTAATATGCAGCTAATAGACCGTGAAAATGAAAGCTCTATAGTAAGTTTTCTTCAGGATGTACTGTGAACAGTGAAGTCTGTTCTCGGTAAAACTATCAACATGACAGCAAGCATGCCAAAAGTACACACTACATTTTGAATCTGTCATTACTGTGCCACTTCAATATTATTCAGTTTGGATCATTAGATTAGTTATATTCAAAGTATAAACAAACTGAGGAGCGTAAGGGTGACAATGCTGCTAGCATCATTCTATAGGACTATTTAAACAAATACAACACAGACATCAAGACAGTTGCTTGGTTTTATGGACTTGCAATCACATCCAGGTCATAAATGATAACATAGTTGTACTTTTTAATCCCAGTTTTCATGAAGTGGATATTTGTCGAGGCTCACTGTTGCAGGACTATGTTATCCCAGTACAGTAAGGAGGACCACCCTACACTCCGTCCATAGCAGTCCAGTCTGAAGGGCCTCAATGCAAAGGGCAGCAATGAGGAAACTGCACCTCAATGGGAGGTTGACATAAAAAAGTTTAAATTAAAATAGGAAAGGTTATTAGAACGTAACATAGCAGCTCCTTCACTTGCCTTCATATGAACATTAAAGGTTCCTCATCACATTCTAATGTGCAATAGTAGCTAAGGTGTTTGTATTCATGTATTTATTAGTTTATTTGTGAGGGACATTGCAAGAAACACTAACAGGTTAAAATAATATGAATCAGATGTGTTGCACACAGTTAGGGCTGCCACTAACTTATATATTTTAAAAAAATAATGGATTAATCATTGATTATTTTATTCGATTAATCAGATTTTGAAAAAAGGCACAGGATGTATTTTTGTATGACATTTCTATTGTCATAATAGGTGATAAAACATTTTAAATACATGCAATTAAAATGCTGCCCATCTCTGCCAACAATGCATAGGCCTATGTGATACAACAGTATAAAAGAATACAAGTAAATATATGCTGCATATAATTTAAATTGTCCGTATCAATAACCTGAAGAATTGCAGGTCTGTATAATCCAACAGAAACTAAGAGAAAACCAGGCTTTCATTGACAGCAAATAACTCCATAGGCCTACTGCCATCTGCTGGTAAAAAGGACAAACATCAGCTTGACACTTGACTGACACAACGATGCGTTATGGAGAAAACCAGTGTTAACAGTAACAACGCAGCACACACAATAATTTATTATATCCTCGATTACTTTATTGCAAACAATTCGGCGAATGAATATTAAAATACAACCTCTGAGGGAATCCCTATATGTCCTTCATGGGAACAATATGCATGACGATTTCCCTCTGAACAGCAACGTTATGGTTGAACAAGTTTTACTGTAGCCATAAAATTTGCTATCATAACATTTTATTTCTATTTCTGTGAATAAAAAGTTCCTCACAGCAATGGCAGGCAGCTTTTCAAAATGTGCAAAACATCAGGTGTAAGTGGAAATAAAAGATACATGGGAAAGTTTTATAGGATATTTATGTTTTTTAGGCAAGCTTATCTTCCTGTCTTTTATTTTGAAGTTACTTCCGTCTCTGATGTCACCGCCGTTATGCGTTCTACTTTTTGTCCAAAACAATAAATGAAAAAATGAATCTGCAAAAAACAAAATCGGGCTGTTATTTTAATTTGGTTTTGTCATTTTTTGATTCTGACAACAAAAACGGCTCCATTTTCTCGTTTTTTCGTTTTAAACCAAAAAGGAAAAAACGGGAAAACCATGGTATTTCCGTTTTTTCGTTTTTGGTTCAAAACGAAAAAACGAACTGCCTGAAGGTACCCTGACCTTACACGACAGAATTTAATCTCTGATCCACACTCCGGAGCAGAAGGTGGCGGTAATGCACCTAATACGATGGTTGCCAACCGCCGTTAAAGGACAATAAGAGGAAGAAGAAGAAGAAGAAGAAGAAGAAGAAGAAGAAGGCGTCACGATTAAGATGGCATGGAGCTGAGAGAAATAATTAAAGAGGGCTTAATGAAGGAATGGCAGAGAGGGTGGGAAAAGGAAAGCAGGGGTAGACACTATTTCTCTTTACAGTCTCAAGTTAAAAAAAAAGATGTACCTGCACTTTTCAGTCTCGTAGGGATTCAGTTAAACTGTGTAGATTAAGACTGGGTCACTGTGGGCTAAATCACTTTTTGTTTATTGTAGGAAAACGTGTCTGGTTTATGTGAGTGTGGGAGCCCTGAGACAGTAAAACATGTTTTTCTGGAGTGTAGAAAGTATAGGACAGAAAGACAAACATTGTTTGATAGACTGTTAGGACTTGGAGTTCAGGCTTCTTCTGTTTTTTCTTTGTTTGGACACTGTGAGAACCATAAACTGATGTCCAAGGCAATTTTGCAATTCATGCGCAACACAGGACTATATGTAAAAATCTAGTTCATCATCGGACCTGTGGAGGGCAGTAATACGCTAAACAGTGTCAAAACTGCCAAAATCTTACAAGAAGAAGAAGAAGATTAAGATGGCCGTGCCTATAATGGAGAGTGGAGAAGATGCATTTAGAAAAATCTTCAAGTTCTACAAGAGGAGAAACCCTCCGCCAGATTTCAGCCATGTCGTCGACTTCTCCAAAGGTGTACCGAGTGACAAGGTGAGGGAGGCATACCATACCATACCATACCATACCGTACGGTGTGTTGGTAAAAATGACGACTAAAGATACTAAGAAAGCTGAAAGCTTCAGTAGCTCTACATCAGATACTAAGCTGGTGCCAGTGATGGAATAAGTTATCACCCAATGTAAAAATACTCGTTTATACGCGAGTATTAATACCCGTTTGTCTGAAAGGTCATTGTTACTGAGTCATTTGCCGAAGTTTGTGGCAATTAAAGAACGGTCTGTAGCCCTGCCACTGTCACTGTGATGAGCATCATTGTCATTATTATTATCATCATTATTATCACTATTATTAAATCCACTCGCCATCAAGTCAGCTGCTGAGGGAATAAGACATCAGACCTGTCAGTCTACCTCAATCAGTTCAATTTTATTTATGAAGCCCAATATCACAAATCACAATTTGCCTCACAGGGCTTTACAGCATACGACATCCCTCTGTCCTTAGGACCCTCACAGCTGATCAGGAAAAACTCCGCAAAAAACCTCTTTAACGGGAAAAAAAACGGTAGAAACCTCAGGAAGAGCAACTGAGGAGGGATCCCTCGTCCAGGACAGACAGACGTGCAATAGATGTCGTACAGAACAGATCAACATTATAAATTAACAGTAATCCGTATGACACAATGAGACAGAAAGAGAGACAGAGACAGAGAGACAGTCAGAGAGAGAGAGACAGAGAGAGATGCAGGACAGACGGTAATGACAGTAGCTTACAACATTAATGAAAGTAATAATAATTAATATTAATATTAATAATTAATATTACCTACAGCCTATTAAACATTATTCCACTCACATGACATGCAGGACAATTAATGATGGGCAAATGTGTTTGTGTATGTGTGTGCGTGGTGTTATATCACTCGAGCA